CCTCTTCCTCTTCCTCTTCCTCTTCCTCTTCCTCTTCCTCTTCCTCTTCCTCTTCCTCTTCCTCTTCCTCTTCCTCTTCCTCTTCCTCTTCCTCTCTCTCTCTCACTTATTCTCATTACAGCTACTCAGTATTTGCTTCTACTGACCTACTGACCTACTGACCCACTGACCCACCGACCCACACGAATAGTATAGATCATAATAGATCATAATACAACATCCTCAACATCCTCATCATGGCTGATAATTCAGGAAGTGCACTAACCAGCACCACTCAACATCACCATCATCCTCCACCCGATCCTCCGAATACTACTTCTCCCAGTGGTACTACTACCACCACTCCTCCTACCACGACCAGTCCCACTAATAAGCTGGACTGTGACTCGCCTGCGGAGACCAATGCGGGTAAAGCAGAGGCCAAGCCGCCAGTCCCCGCCCCCGAACCCGCCGCCAAAAAGACCGCGACGGTCTGTGCTAAACATCCCCCCGCCGCCGCTTCCTCCGACTCTAAGAAGAAGCCCCGTCGCTCCACCAAAACCTCCTCCATTGTCACCCCAAGCGATGACAGCTGCTCTGCTGTCGACTCCGACAGCAACGACTCAGAATCCACCACCAACGATTCCGCCGCAGATAATGATGCCACCACTTCCTCCTCTAGCTCCTCTAGCTCCGACGAATCCGAGGTAGATCGCAAGCATCGTCGCAAGCGCGGCAAGGCCCGAGCCAAGAAAGCGCTGAAGAGCGGCGGTCGCAGGAAGAAGTCCACCCGCTCTCGCCAACAGTCGGACTCAGACTCGGATTCTTCATCCCAGGATGGCGAGGACACAGATTCCGATCTCGATGAGAAGACCCTGAAGAAGCTGGTCGCCAAGCTCAAGGCCAAGCGATCATCCAAGAAATCTCGCTCCAAGGAGGACTCGTCTGAGGATCAGCAGGATGACAACGAGGATGACGGCTCGGATGACCTGGCCTTGCTGTTGGCAAAGCAGAAGTTGGCTGCCTTGCGACTGAAGTTGTCGGATGGTCGCCGCAGTAAAGGACGCAGAAAGCGGGGGTCAACCGATGCAGATGGTTCAAAGGGGTCGTCACAGAAGTCCAAGGGCCGGAAGAAGGCCGCGTCTAAAATAGCTTTCAAGCGGGTGGATCAATGTACGTGCTGCTGCGACCCTTCCCCATTCATAGCAGGTGCTTTCCAGCAGCAAACTCACAGTTACGGTTGACTAACGGTTCGCTAATCTAGTATGGGACAATACGATCCATAACTACAAATTGACTGAGACGGTCGATGATCCTGGTGCCAGCGAGTGGGACCAATACCTCTTCACAGTACGCCGCAAATTCGACTGGGACAACAAGTATACGGAGACGGTGGTGGACCTCAAGAGCAAGTACATCCGCGATGCGCTGGCCAAGGTGATGGACGGAGTCAAGGGTGTCAGTCTGGTACAGGAAACGGCGGTCGTCGATCCCAACATGCTCTTCCTGTACTTGGAGGAGACACGGCAATATATGCGCGAACTGCGACAGCTGGCCAAGACGGAAAGAAAGAAGAAGGCTCGCAAAGCGGCTCAACTCAAGGCCGCTCACCTGAAGGTGCTCGTCAAGTATCTGGATACCGACTATGCGGAAACCAAAAAGACCCTGTATCCTCTGCTCGACGCCAATATGATCACCTTCGACCTGTTGTGGGCCATCTTCAAGCCCAACACGATTGCCTATTCATCCACTTACGGGAATGTGGATGAGCCCCGTGCCTTCAAGATTGAGTACGCTACCAAAGAATCGTCCTTCATGAAAGGTCAGTGGTACAGCATCGAAGGGCGTTATCTGGAATATGACGGCAAGTCGTTCGGAATGGGCACGATGGCTGCGGAGGTCGAATCCTTCAAGGGCTCGCGGAAAATCACCAGTCTTGGCTGTTATCCGCTGAAATATCATCGCGAGGCGGAGGCAATTAAGCTCAAGTTGATCGAGCGGGGCAAGAAGTTCGTGGCATTGCGTGGCATGAACTACCGCTTCCACAAGGGCATGGGTTTCTACAAGAAGAAGCGCTCTGTGATCAAAGTCAACATCAACGGTAGGGTCATGATTGACCCGGCTATTCACCGTCGCATCAATCCCAACTATCCTATCAGTACCGTTCGCCCCAAGGATCCGGATTACCTTGATGGGTCGGACGGAGACGGGAGCGATGATGGTTGCTGCTGTGGCGTGTCGGATTCGGATTCGGATCAGGGTTGCGGGCCATCGCGAGACTCTGACACTCCCAGAACACGCTATAAGGTGGTTCGAGACAAGGAGGGAAAGCCACACGTGGTTGAAGTGGAACTGGACGAGAACGGTAACGAGATACAGAAAGAGGACATTGACGAAGTGGATGACCCCTCCGAGCGGGATTTCACCGAGGAGGAGCTGCTGATCGCGAGCCCAGTAGTCCTGGGGTTCGCCTTTAGCGAGAAGCTGTGGCTAGAGTTCAGTATCTCTGGAGTCAGTGAGATTGAATGGAACGAGGAGGCTTTCAGTTCTCTGGTGCTGCCTGACAACCAGAAGTCCATTGTGAAGGCGCTGGTCGAGTCCCACACCTTCCGAGCTGCCCAAAACATCGATGATGTGATCCAGGGCAAGGGCAAGGGGCTAGTCGCCGTACTTCACGGTCCTCCAGGGACAGGTAAGACGCTCACAGCAGAAGGCATCGCTGAACTGCTCAAGCGTCCTTTATACATGGTCAGCGCAGGCGAATTGGGAACCGACTCGCGCACGCTGGAAGCCGAGCTCAACAAGATTTTGGATATTGCCCATTCCTGGGGTGCGGTCCTCCTGCTCGATGAGGCCGATATTTTCTTGGAGAAGCGCACCATCCAGGACATCCACCGCAATGCCCTGGTCAGCATCTTCCTCCGTCTCCTGGAGTACTTCCAAGGAATTCTGTTCCTGACGACTAACCGCGTGGAAACCTTCGACGATGCGTTTCAATCCCGCATCCACGTGGCGCTCCGCTACGGCGACCTCACCACCAAGGCCAAGCGCAGTGTCTGGAAGATGTTCTTGGAGAAAGTCCAGGCCATGGACGGTGTGCAGACTGCCACCTTCACCGACAAAGACTTTGATCTCCTTGCCCGCCACAACCTGAACGGACGCCAGGTAAGTCCATTGCTCTACTAGTTAGTCTCCATGTTACAACTACTGACACTTCTATCTTCCCTTCAGATCAAGAACTCCGTCCGCACAGCGCAAGCCCTGGCAGTCAACGAGCAGACTCCCCTCTCCATGGAGCATATCAAGCGGGTCCTTGCCGTGGCCGAAACATTCGACCAGGACCTCCGCGGTGGAACGGGATACCTGGACGCCATGAGAAGCTATACCTGAGGAGGCTGCTGCTACGTACACGGCAACGATGCCCTCCACCCCCACACTCTCATACCTTCTTGCGGCCGTTGGGTCCCTTGACTTGGCTCTGCAAGATCCTTTCCAACATTCACCTCAATCTCTCACGACTTGTGTTGACATCTCCACTCCTGATTCTGACGAATGCAACGATGACTAAGATAAAGAAGAAGAGCAAATTGGCGTTTGGAAAGAAATACCTCCCCTCGAGCATGTTGTGCAAATCTTGATTTTGTGTTGTTCTCTTGGTATGAATGGGGAGGAAGAAATCTCAAGATGGATGAGAGCTTGATGATCATGCAAGTTTCCGACGAAGTCATGAACGACACGCACGCGCATCGCCTGGTTATCCTTGGTCCGGAGTCGATTTGAAGTTCTTTTTTTTTCTGATGAGCCATGATGGAAATGACGATTTGATTTTGATTTCGATATTCTCTTTGAGAGTGTGCATGCATGTATTCATTTGATCTGTCTTGAGCATTAATCTATTGCCTGAACTTGACGTAATGCAGTGTTCCATCTCCCGTTGTACTCTCCGAATCGGGAGGTGATGCTAGACAGTTGTGCTGCTGGTATGAAAGGCTTTGAATCTACTTCGTACACTACCGCAATACGTGCTCAGTCTTACAGCATGCAGGATTCCCATCAATGTCATAAGAGTAGTATCATTAACATAGATTTTGGTCTGTATTGAGAAACGGGAAAATACACGTCATGGTCCATTTTCCCCCCATCACAGTCCGCCTCGAGGCGTCGGGACACACAAAGGAAAACCCGATGACCCATGCTTCGATGATGCTGCAGCAACATTCCTCCGATATAAAAGCCAAGGGCGGGTTAAAATATTTAGCGTGACAGGGGAGAAAGAAGAATGACTAGACTGTTATACAAGGAGGAACGTGGCTGCAGAAAAGAGGTTTTTTTGTTCATATCATTCCAGATGAGAGAATTAGATCATTTAAGGGTTAGCCTTAACGAAGTCACGGCCTAAAGTGATACTCCGTTAGCACCTGGGTCGCAAGACTAGATCGATCATGAATTAAACTTACCCTTCTGGATGTTCTTCTTGAGGTCACCGAGGGCGGTCTCGACGAGCTTCTGCTCGTACTCGTTGACGGGGCCGACGGGGTTGATCTTCTCAACACCGTTGGGGCCGAGCTCGACGAGGGAGGCGAAGTAGTCAACACCCTGGTCCTTGTAGAGAGGGGAGTCGACGAAGGTGGGCTCAACGATGCCCTTCTCGCCCTGGGAGGCACGGAGGAGGGACTCGGCGAAGCGAGCACCGGCCATGGCCATGGAGAGGGTGGCGGAGCCGGCACCGTCCTTGGCCTTGACGACCTCGTCACCACCAAACTGGATGCGGTTGACGAGCTCGTCGCGGGTGGTACCCTCGATCTCGGGGTGGTTGGACTGGGAGAGGAGGGGGACGATGGTCACACCGGAGTGACCACCGACAACAGGGACGGCCTCGCCGGCGGGGTCGGTCTTCTTGACCTGGGAGATGAAGCGGGAGGCACGGACCACGTCGAGGGTGGTGACACCGAAGAGACGCTTGGGGTTGTAGACACCCTTGGACTTGAAGACCTCGGCAACGATGGGGACGGTGGAGTTGACCTAGTAAGATGAGGATGAACGAATTAGCTCGAGTCCTATGGCCGATCTACAGGGGCTGGGTGAATCGAGGAGGGGTCAATGCATACGGGGTTGGAGATAACGAGGATGTTGGCCTCGGGGGAAGCCTCAGCAGCAGCCTTGGCAAGGTCGCGGACGATGGAGGCGTTGGTGTTGAACAGGTCTGCGATGATGCTATCAGTTTTGTTTTTTTTTTGTGCCCTGGATTTGTTGGGCTCGAGGCTTCAGCGCATACCGTCACGGGTCATGCCGGGCTTGCGGGGAACACCGGCAGGGATGAGGACGACCTCGGAGCCCTTCAGGGCATCACGGAGGCCAGAGGCAGTGGGCTCGTAGCCGGTGACGGTGCTGTTGGTGTTGATGTGGCTCAGATCAGCGGCGACACCTGCAATGGATGATGGTCAGTCTTGTTCTTGTTCTGAGTCGATGGTCGAGATGGAATTGATGCCGTGTTGACCGGGAGCTGAGGTGTGCGACATACCAGGTCCACCGCGGATATCGTAGAGAGCAAGCTCAGTGACACGGGGGTTGAGCTTGAGGAGGAGGGAGAGAGGCTGGCCAATACCACCAGCGGCACCGAGGACGGCAACCTTGGAAAGCTACAGCTCGCAATTGAGATGATTAGTTCCGGTGGTCATGATAGAGCCGAGGCTGCAAGCCATCAAGGTTTGTTTTTCTTTTCTTATTATTTTTTAAAGCTTACCTGGCTGGAAGAAGCGGAGAAGCTACGCTTCTGGAAAAGGTTGAAGGACTGACGAGCAGCGAACATCTTGACTGTGAAGGGGGGGAGAAGACAGAAGAATAATCTATCTGGGTTATACAAGAGGAATGAGAAGATGGGGAAAGAAAGGAAGGAAGAGAGACGGAGAAGAAGGAAGAAGAAGAAGAGACGGACGGGAGGGCGGCGTCGGTGAGAGTAGACGGAACGGGAAAGGGTTTTGGTTTGGTTTGGTTTTGGGGGGGGGGGGGGAAATCCGGGTGGGTTCAGGTTGGAGCGGCTAAAAGGAACCCAACAATACTAGGTAATTGAATGCTTGCCGGATCCGATGCTCATGCCAGCCACCAACAACAAGGAGGAGAATTCCCCAGTCTGCCTCCATCCTTGATACAGTACTTTAAGTATTCCGTATTCTTCTTGAATTGAATTCTATCTGTACTCTGTCCATTTGTTCCGAGAGCCAAGGATCAATCCAATTGCTGCTTTGTTGCCTTCCAAGTTGCCCCGTGCTCCATCCTACTCCGGCTTAGCCGACGTGATGCCAGCCTTGGATGTTGCGCTCGTCGACGCGATTCCATCCGGCTTCTCCACTTATCGCGCTAGTAATTCAACTCCGGACTCCAAAATGCCATCTGATAATCTCGCGATCATCTCTGGTATACAAAAGCACAAAAGTACAAAAGTACATGCCTTCGTTTCCCAAGGAGAGAAAGAAAGAAAGAAAAATAAGAAAAAAAAAAGAACAAAAGAAAAAAGAGGAGCTATTGATATCTCAACCAATACAGTGCCCAACGCCGGCGCTTGCCAAATGAACCCTCAAGTAACACAAAAGCAAAAAAAGAACAGTGCCCCCAGATGGCAGCAGGAAGTACATCTCAATTCCCCTACAAAGGGCTTCCTACCTCAGAAAGTGTAGTACCGCCCAGCAGAAGAGGAAGAAGATGAGCACCCCGGCCCAGAAAATCCACTTGTCCTGCTTCGCCCGCCGCTCCACCTTGCGAATCGTCTCCCCACTGACCCCCAACGTGTTCGCAACACTGTAAAGTCGACGCTGCGTGCCCTTGAGCACCTCGCGCTGTTGCCCCAAATCCGCCAGGACGGCGCGACCCCGATCGAGGAACTCATCCAGCTGCGTACCGGTATTGGCGAGGAAGCTCTGCTCGCGCAGCGCATGAGTCTCGCGGGTGTAGTCGGCCGCGCCGCCGCCAAATCCCAGGCCCGATCGGGCCGAGGACGGGTTGCCGAACGGGGATGGGTTGGGCAGAGAGGATTGCGCGTAGGGGTTTTCGGGGGTGGCGGTGTGGTGTGGGCGTCGGCCGAGGAGCTCGTTGCGGTTCGTTACGGATTGCTGCATTGAGAAAAGAGGTGGTTAGCAACGGTCGGCCCAGCAAACGTGTATGTAGAGTAGGGTCGAGGAATGCGCTTACTGCATCTTCTCGTTCTTTGCGCAGTCGCTCAAAGTGTAGCCGGTAGTCTGCAAGCTCGGTGCGGAAGTTCTTCACTCGCTCAAAGGCTTTCTCTTGCTTCTCCGGGATCAACTCTTTCTTCGACAGGGCCGAGTAGTCATCGATGGTGCGGGATAGTGATGCCAGCGAGGCCGCAATCTGACCTGTCGGTTCAGCAAGTTAGCCCAGAATCTCCGCATTGAGAAATAATCCCATCTAGCGAAAGAATCGCACCTTGTAGCGCGGCGGACGATGTGGCCGGCGACTGGGAGAATGTGTCCAGATCGCGGCGGATAGCAGAAGACTGCTTCAAGGCGGAATTGAAAAGAGAGTTCTGTTCGATGGAATCAGCAAAGGCATTTCCCTTTCTCCCGAGGCAGTACTGGAGGACGGCGTTCGTCTTGACCTAACGTGGTGAGGGTCATACCATCTCTTCTTGCGGTGTGTCCGATGTCGTATACAGAGGCTAGTACAAGGATGTGCGGCGCAATAACAAACACTTGAGCCCTGTACAAGCGATGTGGAAAGAACCTTTCGCAGTGATGAAAGCAGTATATGACAGTGCACTTGCTTGAATGAGCCGTGCGAGAGCAGCGACGTGTCCTGAAGAAATACTGAGTAGGCGTTTCAATGATGCTAATAATAATGATGCTAGCCAAGGCCACATGTTCTTGCAGAGGCCACGATTCTGACACGGCTGACCGCCTCCCGCCAATGCAAGTCCATGCATGTCCAACCGACATCGATCGTCCATTCTCGAACTTTAATTTTCCAGCAGGCTCGCAACTGGTCTTACGTGTCTATCAACGACTTGACCCTGTCAAGCTAATCCTGAAATCTAGTTCACTTTTCTGACATCGTTCAGAATCTACTCTAAACATCGCAGCGAGCATGGGATTACCGAAAGCTAAGCGGAGAAGAGCATATGGATGAGATTGAGATGGAATTAGCTAAATCTCGACCGAGCACAAACGCCTGGACATCATGAAAAACGCCATGTATCCTCGAATCCGTGCGGTATATGGAACTATAAACCAACCACACAGGAGAAACCAAAAGAAACATCAGGATATCAAGTTATCAAACCACGCAAGACAAGTACTTGAGTTTTCGTTTGCCCCATCTATTTAGGAGGGTACTTGTTCTGCAAAAGCCACCTGATCAATCACGTTAGCGACGACACACCAAGCAAAAATAAAGCGGCGTATAGCCAGAAGATCGACTTACTTGCTGACAAAGTAGTCGACGGTACCGACCGCGCCCACGATTCCGGACCACAATCCGACGAGCTGCCATGACAGCTTACCCTGCGCGTGCTTCTTGTATGCGCCAAAGCCCAGACCCGCGCCGGTCAGGGCCAGGATGACCGCATTTCCGAGGTAGACGGGGTTGCTCTTGTTGCGGCGCACGCTGTTGGCCTTGGCCTTGGCCTCGGCCTTGGCCTTGGCCTTCGCCTTCTCGATCCGTTCGCGCTCGGCGATGGCCTCCTGCTCCTCGCGCTCTATCCGCTCGGCCTGCGTCGTGGTCTTGACCTCCTGGTTGAGGAAATCGGCGTCCACGGACTGCACGTGGGGGGAGTCGACGTCGATCAGGGAGGCGGTGCTCTCGGATTCATCCCGGTACACCCGGTTGATATCAGGAGCGCGACTGTAAAGCTCGAGTTAGCTTGGTCTGTTGAGCTGGGTGTTTGGATTGCTCGTAGTTGATGCACTTACGCCTGGAAACATTGTCAGTACATTTGGTGATCAACATGGTTGCGCTGGAACAGCGACAATGGAACGGACGAAGAATAGCACATACCTCCTCTGGGGACTGCTTGGGACCCTTGGCTGCGGCTTCTGCGTAAGACATGATGACCGGTTGTGTGTCACGAGAGTGGTTGCGTGATAAGGTGGTAGGGATCTGCGATGTCATGCGTTAGTATTGCCTGTCAATGAAGAAAGGTGGGAGTGCTGCCATGATAGGTCAAAGCACAGCAAATAGGAGTCGAGACGCACAGGTTGTAGATGCGAAGCAATTCAGAGTGAGTAAAGTATTACAGAGAAAGAAATCTCGAGTAAAGTTTCAGGGGATGGGAATGGGCAGCCGAAAGGTATTTATGGGTTGGTTGCAGCCACGGCTGGGAGGGGGGTTGGAATGACATCACGTCATAGACGGACCTCATGCGACAGCGCCCGCTGCCAAGGCCCGGTCGGTGATCTCGCCCATGGCTGGCGTTTGCGCTTTTGTGTTTGATGTTTCCGAGGCTACCTGCCGCTTCTTGCTCACGCGAATTGGCACAGCTAATCGAGGAGGACAGATCGACTTCAGCAGTCGGCCTTTCCTTCAATTTCATACATATCTGCATGCCTAACACCACGAAGTCTACTGTTTTGAACCACACTAAGAACTAAACATAGGAAATGCATTGTAAGGGTTATGAAACTGTGCTGGGGGGACCATCTTGGTCTAGGGGATGTGGAAAGATTCAGATGGTTTTAATACATATTACAACAACATCAAAGGGAAAGGTAACTCCGATCGTAGCTAACTAAAATACTGGGCCGGTCGGAATTCCCGCTCGCGGGAAAGAGCTTACAAAAGAAGCTCAAGGGGGTTCTCAACAACCTTCTTCAACTCCTTGATCCACTCAGCACCAACGGCACCATCGACAACCTTGTGGTCGAAGCTACCGGTGACGACGATCTGATCATCCCACTCGACAGCGGTACCCTCGGCGGTCTCGACGGGGACGGCAACCTTGCGGGTGGTGCCAACAGCCAGGATACCGGCCTGAGGGGGGTTGATGACGGCGGTGAATCTCTCGACGGCAGCGTTCATGCCCATGTTGCTGATGGTGAAAGTACCACCCTGGTACTCCTCGGGCTTGAGCTTGTTGTCACGAGCACGCTTGCCGAGATCCTTGATCTGGTTAGAAATGCTGGACAGGCCAAGACCCTGGACGTTCTTGACAACAGGGGTGATAAGGCCGTTGGGGGTGGCGACGGCAACGCTGATGTCGGCGGTGTTGTGCTGGCGGATGACAACCTGGCCGTTCTCCTCACGCCAGCTGGAGTTGACAGCGGGCACCTTCAGGAGGGCAGCAGCGCAAGCCTTGACGAGGAAGTCGTTGACGGAAAGCTTGTACTTGCCGTCGGCGGAGGCGTTGAGAGCCTGACGGAGCTTGAGAAGCTTGGTCACGGACAGAGTAGTGGAGACAAAGTAGTGGGGGTTCTCGCGCATCGACTGCTGAAGGCGAGAAGCAATGGTCTTGCGCATGGAGGTAAGGGGGATGTCCTCGTAGGTGGCAGCGGCGGTGGCGGCAACGGAAGGCTGGTACTTCTCAACGTCCTCCTTGGTGATCTGGCCACCACGTCCAGTGCCCTTGAGAGCCTTGATGGGCACACCCTTCTCAAGAGCAAGGGCCTTAGCAGCGGGGCTAATGTTAGCCTCACGGTCCAGAGCGGGCTGGAGCTTCTCACCCGAGGTCTCAGGCTCGATGGCAGCGGGCTGAGGCTCAGGGGTGGAAGAAGCGGGGGCAGCCTCTTCCTTGGACTCGGACTTGCTCTCCGCAGCACCAGCAGCGGGCTTCTCGCTACCGGCATCCTCCAGGGTGAAGCTCTCGAAAGCCGAGACGTCGGTACCCTCCTCGACCAGCACGGCGATAGGCTAATGCGCGGTTAGCAACGGCCTCGACACGAACCGGATTCTACCGGTGGCAAAGAGAGCATAGGAAATCACGTACAGAGCCAACAGCAACGTCCTTCTCACCAGTCTCCGACAGAACCTTGGCCAAGACACCCTCTTCTTGGAACTCAAAGTCCATCTGGGCCTTGTCGGTCTCAATCTCCACCAAAACATCACCAGGCTGGAGAGCATCACCAGCCTTCTTCTGCCAGGCACCGATGTTACCGGCGTTCATAGTCGGCGACAGAGCGGGCATGCTGATGATGGTGTGAGGGGGGAAGGCTGTTGAGTCCTACTTGTCAGTTTTCGATCAAGCCACATAACGGAGCAACAAGAATCAACAAAAGATGGTAAGCGGGCATACACTTGGAGGCATAGTAGCGGGAGAGGGCGGATAGGGAGGGCAATTGAGATCTGTAGAAAGAGAAGGTGTGATTAGTGGCGGTTTTGAAGCTCATTCGGGTCGAAGTAACATACTGAGCAAGATCCTTGAATCTGTGAACGGTCTGCGGCCGCCTCAGAGAAAGGGCGCCTTTGGAGAGAAACATGGCGCTGGGGGTGCGCATCCGGACAGCAGAGGCAACCATGGCGCCCAAGTGCTATGAAAAGGTCGAGAAATGAGCCCGCGACGGGAGGGAATGAGAGAAGGAGGATGGAAGAGAGCCTAGAGACTGGTCTGACAGATGAAAGGGCCCGTATCGAAGAGTTGAGGACTGCAGCTCCAGGAACTTTTCTGTTGAGGCTACCGGTGAGACCGTCCGGAGTGATTATCGCCGGCCGCCCCGAGACAGCTTAGCTAAGCAGCCCACCGCGGTTGTGGCTCACTACGTCGCCCGTACGGTATCTCCGTCGTCCGCGGGAGTGAACACGCTGCAATTCCACCGGAACTGCTTGATGTCTTGTTAGTAAACGAAAGGTTGGGCTGGCGTTTCTTTTCCACCTGCAGTTTCTTTTTCCCGTCCCTCCTTTAGTCCCATGTGGACCCCTTTTCTATCAATCTCCAACCACTCCGACCGGAGTCTTGCATAAATGGCGGAAGTCGAAAACGGCTCTGTCAATGAGCCCGCCCAAACATCCCCGGTTGTGTCGCAGGCAGACAACAAGGATGCGGCTGCTGCTGCTGCTGTATTGACACAGTCGGACGACGACTCCGTCCCTCACGACAAACCAACCCTGCCCGCTGAATCGGAACGTCAACAGATCGGTACAAATCAAGCCGAAGAAAATATCCAGTCATCTACCGAGCCAGAGTCCACTGCAAACACAGAGTCAGCCGACCGAATCGCAACTCCGACAGATGCCGCCGTACCCCAGGATCCCGATGTCCAACATGACTCTGAATCAAATCTGAAGGTCGAAGCTCCCGAGAGTCAGCCTGAAGATTCCGCTACCAATGTCGAGAAGGAAGCCCCCTCCGAAAGACACGATGTGGCTTCGATACCTCCCCGCGATGAGCTTGGCCCGGATACAAGAATGCGCTCGGACTCGAGGTCCACCACTGCCACAGTTGCGACGCACCGCTCTGTGACACTCAGCTCTACCGTCTTTATAGTCAGTGCCTTGGATGCAATCGGTGCTTCCAAGGAGGCCCGCAGGAGCAAACAATTGGAGGATGCCGTCAAAAGCGCGCTCAGCAATGTCAAACAGTCCGACGGCCAGCCGATTGACCCTGAGGTCATATTCCGTCCGCTCCAGCTCGCCACCAAATCGTTCAGCATCCCTCTACAGGTCACTGCGCTTGACTGTATCGGAAAGTTGATCACCTACTCCTACTTTGCATTTCCGTCGGCCCATGAGAGCAAGACCTCCGAGAACGAAGCTACTCCGGAGCAGCCCCCCTTGATCGAGCGAGCCATTGATGCGATATGCGAATGCTTCGAGAATGAGGCTACACCAGTTGAAATCCAACAGCAGATCATCAAGTCCCTTTTGGCGGCAGTCCTCAATGACAAGATTGTGGTACACGGAGCGGGTCTCCTCAAAGCTGTTCGCCAGATTTACAACATCTTCATTTACTCCAAGTCGTCGCAAGAGCAGCAGATAGCCCAGGGCTCGTTGACGCAGATGGTCAGCACTGTTTTTGATAGAGTCAACGTAAGACTTGAGCTGAAGGAGCTGCGGTTACGTGAAGGTGATAAAGGGCACGGTAGCTCTTCGGACAATGTTACGCTGGAGGCCGCCGACGCTCCTCAAGAGGATGAACATGTGCATGACGAAGTTCATGAAGCAAGCTCAGACCACCCTGTCTCGAAAGAGCCAGGGGAGAAGCTCACTCTGCAAAGCTTCGAATCGAACAAGGAGGTAACCACAGTCAATGATAATGCGCCAACCATGGTCACCCGCGCTAGGAATCAGAGGCCGGCCCGATCTTCTTCGGGGACCTTCACCGAAGAGAGCGACAGCACCGCAGATGATGATGAAGATGAAATCTACGTCAAGGATGCTTTCCTCGTGTTCAGGGCTCTTTGCAAGCTGAGTCACAAGAATCTGAACCACGATCAACAGCAGGACCTCAAATCTCAGAACATGAGATCGAAGCTGCTATCCTTGCATCTGATTCATTACCTCCTTAATAACCAAGCCAATGCTTTTGCGTCTCCGCTTCTGACAATCAAGAACAGCTCAACTAGCTCGGGCACTTCCGATGCAATGACATTTCTGCAAGCCGTCAAACCTCATCTCTGCCTGAGCCTTAGCCGGAATGGTTCAAGCTCGGTACCCAGAGTTTACGAGGTGTGCTGTGAGATCTTCTGGCTCATGCTGAAACACATGAGAGTGATGATGAAGGTCGGTGGGCTTCTTAGCACCGTTCAACTACAATAAGCTAACTCGAAACAGAAAGAACTTGAGGTTTTCCTGAAGGAGATTTATTTGACCATTCTGGAAAAGCGCAATTCGCCCGCTTTCCAAAAGCAATACTTCATGGAGGTTCTCGAGCGATTGGCCGGTGACCCACGCGCTCTGGTTGAGATCTACCTCAATTATGACTGTGACAGAACAGCATTAGAGAATATTTTTCAAAAGTATGTGCTCGCTGCTCCATTATCCAGTGGATGAACACGTCTGACATGTGATTAAAACAGTATCATCGAGCAGCTGTCGCGTTATGCGAGCATTCCTGTTACGGTTACCCATGCTCAACAGCAGCAATATCAGGAACACCATGTCAAAGTCTCATCCGTGGGAAGTGACTGGCATCAACGTGGAAGCTTCCCCCCTTCGTTGACCACTGCCAATGTAGCCAACGTCCCACAACCAAGTCTACAAAATGTGCCGCCCGAGTATACGCAGAAGAACCAGGCGGTCGTATGCTTGGTTGAAATTCTGCAGTCATTGGACAACTGGGCCTCACAACGTCTAGTCGACCAGTCCGCATCTATACCTCACTCGTCCTCTCAGAAATCGATCGATAATCCCAGAGATTCGATTGATATGAACACCGCATCGTTTCTCTCTTCCCCACGGATTGAGGGTATCGAGGGTATCACAACTCCGGTGGCGGAAGACGATCCAAGCCAAATTGAAAAGGTCAAACAAAGAAAGACCGCGTTCACCAACGCAGTTCAGCAGTTCAATTTCAAGGCCAAGCGCGGAATCAAACTTTTTATTCAGGAGGGTTTCGTGCGCTCCAGCTCACCCGAAGATATTGCTGCCTTCTTGTACCGGAATGACCGCTTGGACAAGGCCATGTTAGGAGAATATCTCGGTGAAGGAGATGCGGAGAACATTGCTATCATGCATGCCTTTGTTGACCAGATGGACTTCTCTAAGCGACGATTTGTTGACGCTCTTCGTCAATTTCTGCAGAATTTCCGTCTACCGGGAGAGGCGCAAAAGATCGATCGCTTCATGCTGAAGTTTGCTGAGCGCTACGTAACTCAAAACCCGAATGCTTTTGCCAATGCGGATACTGCTTATGTGCTTGCCTACAGTGTCATTATGCTGAACACCGACCAGCACAGTGCAAAGATTAAGGGTCGCCGTATGAACAAGGAGGACTTCATTAAAAACAATCGGGGTATTAATGACAATCAGGATCTTCCTGACGAGTATCTATGCTCCATCTTTGACGAGATTGCACAAAACGAGATTGTTCTGGATACTGAACGGGAACATGCCGCAAACCTTGGTATTCCTACTTCTGCACCGGCCGGTCTGGCCACCAGAGCTGGACAGGTCTTTGCAACAGTTGGGAGGGATATCCAAGGTGAGAAGTATGCGCAGGCTTCAGAAGAGATGGCCAACAAGACCGAGCAGCTCTACCGCAGCTTGATCCGGGCGCAGCGCAAGACAGCGGTCAAGGAGGCACTTTCTCGCTTCATCCCGGCGACTTCAGTTCGCCATGTTGGCTCCATGTTCAATGTCACCTGGATGTCATTTCTGTCTGGCCTATCTGCCCCAATGCAAGATACACAGTACCTAGAACTGATCAGGCTTTGCATGGAGGGTATGAAGCTGGCCATCCGTATCAGCTGTGCTTTCGAATTGGAGACACCTCGGGTTGCGTTCGTGACAGCGCTTGCCAAGTTCACGAATCTGGGTAATGTCAGGGAAATGGTAGCGAAGAACGTTGAGGCACTCAAGGCACTGCTTGATGTTGCTTTGTCCGAGGGAAATCATCTCAAGGGCTCTTGGAGAGAAATCCTCACATGCGTCAGTCAGCTTGACCGACTCCAGCTCCTCACTGATGGGGTGGATGAAGGTTCTCTGCCAGATGTCTCTCGAGCTCGTATTGTGCCTCAACCGTCCTCTGATGGCTCCCGGAAGTCTATGCAGGCAGCGAGACGCCCTCGTCCTCGGTCAGTGAACGGACCTTCTGCCTTTCGCACCGAGGTTGCCATGGAAAGTCGCTCTGTCGAGATGATTAGGGGAGTTGATCGCATTTTCACTAACACTGCCAACCTTTCACATGAGGCCATCATCGACTTCATTCGGGCATTGAGTGAGGTCAGCTGGCAAGAGATTCAATCGTCTGGGCAGACCGACTCTCCCAGAACTTACAGTTTGCAAAAGCTGGTAGAGATCAGTTACTACAACATGACCCGAGTAAGGATCGAATGGTCTAAAATCTGGGAGGTCCTTGGACAACACTTCAACCAAGTAGGTTGCCATTCAAACACGACAGTGGTTTTCTTTGCTCTTGATTCGCTTCGCCAATTGTCAATGCGTTTTATGGAGATTGAGGAACTGCCGGGTTTCAAGTTCCAGAAAGACTTCCTGAAGCCGTTCGAACATGTCATGGCGAACAGCAGCGCTGTGACTGTCAAAGACATGATTCTCCGCTGCCTCATTCAGATGATCCAAGCACGTGGTGACAACATCCGCTCCGGTTGGAAGACGATGTTTGGTGTTTTCACAGTAGCTGCTCGGGAGCCCTACGAAGGCATTGTGAACATGGCGTTCGAGCATGTTACTCAAATTTACAACACTCGCTTCGGCGTCGTCATAACTCAGGGTGCTTTCCCTGACCTCGTTGTCTGTCTGACAGAGTTCTCCAAGAACTCTAGATTCCAGAAGAAGTCACTGCAAGCGATTGAAACCCTCAAGTCAACCGTTTCAAAGATGCTGAGAACGCCAGAATGCCCGCTTTCTCATCGCGGAACTTCATCGGAGGGCACCCACGAGGACGCCACCAACCTGACGCAACAACTTACCCGCCAGTCGAAGGAAGAGCAGTTCTGGTACCCGATCTTGATTGCCTTCCAGGACGTCCTCATGACCGGTGATGACCTCGAAGTCCGCTCGCAGGCATTGACCTACCTCTTTGAGACTCTCATCCGGCACGGCGGCGAATTCCCGCAAGAGTTCTGGGATGTGCTTTGGCGACAACTTCTCTACCCGATCTTTGTAGTGCTGCAGTCTAAATCCGAGATGTCTAAAGTACCAAACCACGAGGAGCTGTCGGTGTGGCTATCGACAACAATGATCCAGGCTCTAAGGAACATGATCACGCTGTTCACACACTACTTCGATGCGCTAGAATATATGCTCGATCGCATTCTTGAACTTCTGACGCTCTGCATCTGTCAAGAAAATGACACAATCGCCAGGATCGGCAGTAACTGCTTGCAGCAGTTGATACTGCAAAACGTCACGAAGTTCAAGCAGGAGCACTGGAACAAGGTAGTTGGTGCCTTTGTCGAGCTGTTCACAAAGACCACGGCCTACGACTTGTTTACCGCCGCGGCCTCCATCACTTCCAAGCCCTCCTCCACCCAAGCCAAACCCGCAAACGGTGAGACGGCGACCGGCGAAAACAGCGCAAACGAATCAGCTGAGACATCATCGGTCCAAGAGACCAGCAGTGTCGACCCGTCCAAGATCAACGGAGCACAGAACGTTGCTTCGGAGCACGAGGAGGGAGACATGCCCACGGCTTCCAACGCCGCACTGGAAGACTATCGGCCTCAAACAGAGGCGCAGCAACAACCCGCTGCGGTCACTGTTGCACGACGTCGGTTCTTCAATCGGATCATCACCAACTGCGTCCTGCAGCTCCTCATGATCGAGACAGTCCACGAGTTATTTTCCAATGACAAGGTCTACTCCCAGATCCCCAGTAACGAGCTCCTCCGGCTCATGGGCCTACTGAAGAAGAGCTACCAATTCGCCAAGAAGTTCAATGAGGACAAGGAATTGCGGATGCAGCTTTGGCGTCAGGGATTCATGAAGCAGCCTCCGAACTTGCTCAAGCAAGAAAGCGGTAGTGCCGCCACTTACGTTCACATCCTGTTCCGCATGTACCATGATGAGAGAGACGAGAGGAAGAGCAGCCGTGCGGAGACCGAAGCCGCTCTCATCCCGTAAGTTGCTCCTTTAAAGCCCCTTTCGCACAAAATCAACCGTGCAAGACTGATACTCAATTAAATTCAGACTATGCGCGGATATCATTCGCAGCTTCGTCCTTCTGGACGAAGATTCGCAGCATCGGAACGTCCTCGCCTGGCGCCCGGTTGTGGTGGATGTCATCGAGAGCTACACCAACTTCGCCTCGGAAGGGTTCAACAAACACATCGAGACCTTCTACCCCTTGGCCGTCGACCTGCTGGGCCGCGACATGAATCCGGAGGTCCGTCTCGCCGTGCAATCCCTCTTCCGCCGTGTCGGCGAGGTCAAGCTGGGTCTGCCACCTCGCCCGCAATCGCCGGCGAGTCATCGAAACTCCGTCACCAGCCAATTGTCCCGCAAACATAGCAGCGGGCGCTGAGTTCATGCCTGCACTGCCAGGAGTTTCTCCTCTCGCCCACAACTGAACCATCCGTCTTGATACTGCTCTGTGTGTCTGTGCTATCTTTCTCCTCCCTTCTTCTCCTCTTTCTTCTTCTTCTTCTTCTCTTCTTGGATATCCTCGCCTTTCATGAATGGGAAGGCCTCGCTTTTGTTCTGGAAGGTTTGTCTGGTGTATTAGACTTAAGTTTTCCATCATAGCCTTCGTCTTTATTCTTTAAACCCCGGTCATCTCGCGCTCCTCGTTTCTCTCGAACTTTTGTTATCATTATCCATCATATCTTGTGCAAGCGGGCTCTTTATATATGTATGTACAAAATACCATCTTTCATGGAAGCGTTGCAGGGGTTTATTCTCGGTCCTATTGCCCGTCGCCCACTCTCGCTGCGAGACTGCTCTTTTCAGGCGTGGCTCTGAGTGGAGTAGAGGTCCTGAGTTGGGACATGTATGGACCATAGAAACCTAGTTCACTCACCTCAGCTTGATGCAAATCCTCGTGCGTTTGCCTCATGTCGCATAGTTCGCACAAGAACCGGTTGACATCAGATGCTTCGAGTACTGCCTGTACTGTAGTACTCACCGAATCCCCATAGATTATGTATGTCCCCAGTGTTCAATTCCCGGCCGCTTTCGCCCGAATCTCCTTCAAGGGGGGAATTTCCCCGGAGGCATAGAAGGCCAGAAGGCCCTCCATATCGCGCTCCTCCATCTCCACGAGGTCCTCCAAGCTCCACGACTCACAAACACCCGACATCCTGCCCATTATAGAATCCGTCAGCCCCAGCTCACAAGAACACCCCTTTTTCTCTTCACATTGCTTGCACTTGAAAACAAACACAACAGGAAAGAGAAGGGTCGGGGGGCCAAACATACCACTTCATCCGCTTCGGCCCCTCCTCGACGTTGGGCGCGGTCTCGCGCAACTTCCTCCGCAGCAGGCCGACGTTCTCGATGGCGGCGCCCATGTTGCCCGGCAGCGTGGCGGCGATCTTTTTGCGGACGATGCTGGCGAGCCGGGGGCCGTTGCCGTTGGTGCTGACCATGATCTGGAGGGGCCCGTCGCGGTGCATACTCCCGAAGTAGAAGTCGCATTCGGGGGGTACGTCGGCGATGTTGGCGGGGATGCGCTTCTCCTTGCAGAGCTGCCAGACGCGCGTCGAGGCCGCGGGGTCGTCGATGGCGCACAGCACCATGTCGGCGGTGTCGAGGTCGTGGGGCTCGAAGGTCCGGTCGACGTGCGTCACTTGGCCCTGGGCCACCCGGTAGGCGACCTCCTCGTTCAGGCCGGCCACGGGGCACACGACCGTCACTCGGGCGTCGGCGTTGAGGGCGTGGAGGATGCGACCGGCTGCGACCTTTTATTTTGGATGGATCGGGGAGAATGGTTAGTCTCTGTGTGACTGTGTCGAGGGGCAGGGGGGTTTGTGTGTGTGTGCTGGAATTGAGAGATGGAGTATATATATATTTGCATCGGCGATAAGAGGGAGGGATGGGGGGTAGCTTTACTAACCTCTCCCCCACCAACTACCAGGATATGTTTATTCTTTGCTTGCCAGGCAATGATTAGGGAGCCTCCTCCCTGGACCTCGGGGAATTTTTGCGACATTGCGATTCTTGTGAATGAGAGACAGAATTGGATTGATGCTGGTGTTGTTTGGTTGGTGGTGATGTGGTTGTGTCATAGGCAAGTTTTCCTATCGGCCATCGCCTATCGATTATCATCAGCCCGAGGAAGCATTCGGAACCAAAACATAATCCCGTGACCTTCCTTCCGCCTGCCGTTTTCTGCCCACTTCCCAAACTGCAAAAAAATACGAATTTTACCCACCGCGGCCTTTTTTTTCTCCCATTCTTTTTCTCCCTCTTTTCTTTTCCTCTTCTCTTTCTTTCTTTCCTTTCCCTTCCCCTCCTCCCCTCCTCCCCTCAAATCCCCCTCCCCCAATCCCCCACTCCTTGCTTTCTGGGCCGGTAATCTTGAAATGATTCCACCGCCCACGTTGGCTATTCATTCCTATTATTACCGGTCCATGCCTTCTCAGTCTTAAGTCAAGTACCAAGATGCGGGGAGTACAAATCTTCTCGGGAACATCCCACCCTTCCCTGGCGGAGACCATCTGTGAGCGACTAGGCACCCAGCCAGCTCGAGCCAACCTCGGGAAATTCAGCAATGGCGAGACCAGAGTAGACATCGGCGTCTCCGTGCGGAACCAAGATGTCTACATCGTGCAGAGCGGCAGTGGAAAGATCAACGACAGTGTGATGGAGCTGTTGATTATGATCTCTGCCTGCAAGGGTGGTTCCGCCAAATCTATCACAGGTACGTTGGATTTTCCTCTCACCCTGCTTCACTCTCTCGGTGTGTACAATGGCTGACTTGTCTGTTTCATCCTGCAGCGGTCATGCCGTATGGTCCTGTTTAAGCTCATTCCTGCGCATCTGATACTGACTCAAACGAGGTACTTCCCGTACTCTCGCCAATCCAAGAAGAAGAGCCACCGTGGCGCAATCACTGCCCGCATGTTGGCCAACCTCCTCTCGGTTGCTGGAGTGGACCATGTGATCACCCTGGATCTACATGTGAGTCTTCAATGGCCGTTGGGGACCATCTACCATACCGCCTTCGTCTGGAGTTCTTACCAAGGTGTGATGAATCTAGGCATCGCAAATGCAAGGTTTCTTCGGCAAGCCCGTGGACAACCTGTTCGCCGAACCCTTCATCGCTCGATGGATTCGCATGAACGTCCCTAGCTGGAGAGAAGCGGTGGTTGTGAGCAAGAATGCCGGTGGCACCAAGCGTGTCACCTCGCTTGCCGATACCCTGAAGCTCAACTTCGGTATCGTCACGACCGATAGACGGCGTCCCAAGGTCCCAATGTCGATGACGGACAGCACCGTCTTCTTTGACTCGATTGAGGAAGAGAGCACGACCTCATCAAAAGATCAAGATCCTTTCGCTCTGCACATCCACAGCGCAGCTAGTGACAATGGTCAGGCTGACGAGCCGCGTGAGGAGTCCAGCATTAACATGGAATCGCTCGTCGCGGCCAACCTGTTGCGCCCCGAGACCCCGACCGGCGCTCGCCGTCCGTCGGAGTTGGAAGCGGCACACGAGTATACCGATGTTCGTGTCCAGGACGTCATCACCGGCCGACTGGTTCAGGGTCACCTGGTGGATGATGACTATCCTTCTACCGGTCCCACTTCTGTACCTGCTTCGGGCGAAACAACCCCAGGTCAGAATGCGAGCGGCGAACCTTCGGAGGCGGTTCCCGAGTCGATGATTAACTCTCTCATCTCGACCACCCCTTCCCTTCCCGGCGACCACGCGCTAGGCGGCTCATTCGATGCTGCCGAGTCCTCCGACGAGGAGGGTAGCGTGGGGCGTCACGCTGAGCAAGAGAAGACCATCACTCTTGTCGGTGACGTGCGCAACCGGACCGTCTTCATCGTCGATGACATGATCGACAAGAGCGGATCCTGGGTCGCTGCTGCTGAGACTGTCGTGAAGAAGGGTGGTGCGAAGAAGGTCTACTGCATTGCAACTCACGGTCTCTTTGGGGATGAATCCCTGGAGCAGATGGAGGCATGCGAGGCCATCGACCACATTGTCGTTACGAACACATTCCCCATCGCTCCCCAAGTCGCGAAGAAGTCGAAGAAGTTGATTGTCATTGACATCTCAAGCCTCTTGGCCGAGAGCATTAGACGCCATCACTATGGCGAAAGGTTAGTTCCTATCATTCCACAGTCTCAATTTTAAAGTATTTGCTAACGGCTGCCATAGCGTTTCGGCTTTGTTTCATCTAAATGATTAGACCTCCCGACTATTGAGTCCCATTTTCAATGGATCCTCTTTGAACGCAATCCTACTATTCCCTACACTCCCATACCTCCATGTCCCGAGCGTAAGCGAGCTGGTTTTGGGGCAAGATGATGACTAAAGACAGTGATGACGAGTGCCTTGATGATTTTCTCAGCGAATGGCTCTTTTTCTTTTCATCTTGCCGTGTTGATGCTTCTGCATGCACGCAAGTCCAATTTTGTGGTGATACACGGCAGGTTAATCTCTACTGTTATCAGCACCTAAGCACTGAATGATACCATTGACCATTTGCGCATAATCGCAGCTGCAGGGGGTCGGTGACATGATCACTCCCACAAAGCACGGGAAGATGCGCCGCGAGTCCCAATTTTGCAGACAGATGCCTTGTTTCCCTGTCAATTCGGACCAAGTGTATGTTGCTTTCCCCATCGGTGCGTTTCATATCCACCATCTGTCTTTCGTAGGGCGGTTGGTATGTCGATCCATTCGATCACAACAACCTGTCAATCCAAAAACCAGCGATGCAGTCCACTCTGGGTACTGCAGGGGCGGCCTGTTGGAAAGGAGAGTAATTTCTCCGGACCTGAGTTCACAGGATCGTTCTTAACGGAGCGTTGGGAGAGCAAATTACCGGTCCTGCGCGGTCTTCTATGACCTTCCGAGCCGTCTGGCTCGGTGGGAAGTAGTCGTACTGCGCTGGACCGGTCGAGGAGTGAAGGCACCACTTTCTTTGGGGGCATCTGCCTCCATGACTTTTTAGTCGGTGGAAATGGTGCAAGAGAACATCTCGGACACTATCTTCATGTCAGAGTAGCCTGTAAACAATCCCCAATTTAGCTGAATATCACCGATTTCCAAATCATCTTGTTCCCAGAGTGTCCTTATCCGATCGGAGCTCCTGTTCCTGCATTATGTGGATGCCATCGTATGTCAGATTGAGCATTCGCGATCGATTGCAGACTAGACTTGACCTCGAGCGACTACGAAGTAGGTTCAGAGACATCCGATTCTCCTTTGGCGCGCTCGGTGAGCGATGCAGTTTTCCTTTTTGCCAGGGATCAAGTCAAGATCTTCCGACCCGTGTTGCTATCCTAAGACGACTCGAAAAAGTCACGGCAGTGCAGGATTAGCGGCGTGCAGCTTGCCAGCCGGCATGGAATGAATCAGCTTCCGACCGAGTTGACAGTTGTTGCTAAAAGCGAGGATGGCGGTGTGTATGAGCCCGCGGGCTGATTGCAAGATTGGTCCGTTTGCTATGTGAAGCTGGACGGGGCCGAACAGAAAGCAGCCCCTTTCATTTCTCCCGAATCAACCTTTTTCATATGCACGTTACTAGCTGACCAAACGAAACGCATGCTCGAATCGGATGGTGGACAACGGATCCGGGGCAAAATTGCTTTCCGCCTTAGAAACGAGTCTCTAGTCTACGCGTAGAGGTGAGATTGCGACTTATCCGGAGAAGGATGGAGGGGTGTGATGATAAAATCTGGCCAAGCCCTACATGCATCACAATGACCATGGCAAGAGAATGCCCTTGTTCTAGGCCCGGTCGAGCGGCATGTCCGACAGCTCGTTTATGGAGCGCCACTTGCCAGATTGCACCTTCGGCATACGGTAAGCTGAACAAATGGGTGAGAAGTGAAGCGTGTGGGGATAGTAAAGCGATTGGGGGCGGTTTCTTAGAACAAAAAGACGTATCGAGTAGACAAAAGTACCTTGCGTCACCGAAACCCAGGGAAGACGCCCTATTCCAGGACTATGAGAGGCGGAGCCAATTAGAAACCAGACTAGCAAGGCCCGAAGCACGACGGCGCAGATTTTATGTCCGGAACATTCCCGGTAGATCAGGGAAGCATGCGGCTAGCATGACCAGTGGTGATTTGTGGTTCCTGAAATCAAGGAATCGGCCTCGGATGCTTGCTTACAAGCGGTTTACGTACCTCGTCCAAAGTCGTTGAGCATATGGAACCTCGACTTGAGAAGGATGCTATAGGTATTGTCTCAACAATTCCTAGGGTATTGAAGGCAATCTACCAAGGTGCAACCCTGAAGCGTCTCATTGATCATCTCATTTGGTGGATGCCTAGTCCAGCCACAAATGGCCTTGAAGAGCGGTTGAAGTACGGAGTACTGGCAGTGTTGCTTCTTGTATCCCCGCCATGCTGACAGGAATCGACCCGCCTGTCAAGCGATATCCACCGCACTTGACCCAAGCGCTGGGTCGGGTTCAGCCTCTCGTGTTCTCATCCTAGACCTGAGAAGTCGAGAACCAAGGGAACGCTCGGGGCACTAGAAGCACCGCGTGTCGGGTCCCGGACTGCAGGTGCAGTTCGTTCTAAGATTGTCCCAAATGATGACACATTGACATCAGTAAGAGGAATGGCATCTCGGCTCGAGGCTAGAGGGGATGTTTGATGGTTGTTTTGCTACTTCCGATATTGTGGTCGAAACAGCCAACTCTGTCGTTGGAGCTCATTTACGGGAAGATCGACATAATCAAACGAGCGGTAGGTGAGCGGCTTACAGCTCGCATGACTACAGCCACTCATAGTGTTGAGAACCCACGAAAGACGACAGTTTGGTGAGCAAGCGAACCAATCAAAAGTAAGTACTGGCCAGGAGGTCGTTCACTGTTCCAGACACGGAGCAATCTCAACTTAGAACTTCGTGAGCTAGGCACTGTTGACTTTGGATCATATTACGAAGTACGGACGACTTTTGTTCTCCAGGGCCCCCAAAACTTACCGGCAAGCCACTTGGGGATAATCCTGGTTCGCGGGTGCGGGTCGCCTGCAGACGCACGGCGCAATCGGCTTGATCGGCAAAAATAGACAGGAACGAAGCATGATTGAATCGAGGTGTGACGCTCACAGGGGTCGTGCCTGCTTGCTCAAGCGTCAGCGACGCCCCCAACGTTGCCTCTGCAAAGGCGGGCTGGGAACAGCTGCAGGGATGGACCCGAAACCATGGATGTATGAAAGTTAATCCCAGTGCTTTACTTGGCCCATCAAGTGGAGAGAGGCAGCGCTGACAGCTTAGAGTGGGGAGATCTTAGAGTGTAAAATTGTACTGTTTGTTGCGCTGCGATTGTTTGTCCTAGCTTGTCGGGAAGCCCCTGCCTGCTCTGCGAAGTGCATCGGTAGCACCGGCAGACCGACATCCTCTTCCTGTGGTGAACCGTATGGCCGAAGTTTAACAGCGATTGCAGTTGGAAATGAGTTCAAACTCAAAAGCAAATAGCTCTGAGCGATTGCCAGTTTTAGAATGATGGATAGATCCAGAGCAAACAATTGGAGTGAGCGGCACGGCAGTCGTTGAGATGGGTCTGGATCGGAATGATGCGCAAGTAACTACCGATGGAGGTTCTAGAAAAATTGGGTTCGATGCATGACGTTCGGTCGAGGTCAAGGAAGGCCTTGTGGGGTATGGAGGGTGCATATACAGAAGTAGCAGCAACGATCGATGGGGAAACAAGAACGAGCGATGGGGTAGAAGGATTGGCCAGGAAGGCTGGATCTGAACGATCGAGGTTCCAGGAACCAGGATGTGAAGAGGGCGGAAGGATCAATTCGTGATGGATCATGATGCATAGATAGGTAGATGAATGAATGGATGGATGGATGGATAGATAGAGAGAAGGAAGTGGAGATGGAGGAGGGGGGGAGAGAGGGGGAAGTGGAGAAGAGGCAGAGAGAGAGAGAGAGAGAGAGAGGAAGAAGTACGGGAGACGGTAAGAAGGAATGAAAGGAAGGCGGCCGGGGCTAGACAAGGAAGCAGCAGCAGATCGGATCGGATCTACACTCCATTTCCTGTCTTCAACGCTTCCTTCCAGCCCCTTTGGGTGCGTTTTCTTTGACTGGTCCTGGTAATGATGGAATTATTATTAAGGGGAAGGTTGTCATGACCGAAACTCAAAGCTTAAAATGAGGAACCAAGAAAGAAAAGAAAGAAAGAAAGATGTCAGTACGGAGTATGTAGGAGACTAGGAGTAGTAGTCGGAGTGGGTTGGATCCACCTTGGAAAATGATCTGTAGAAGCAACACCACGACTAAATCACCCAGTCGGATCTATTCATTGATTCATTGACGGGGACTAAAGGTAATTAGGCCGGTTAGACAGTTTACCAGTTGACAGATATCATTGACCTGGCCCTGGATCCCAGTAACTGTAACTCAATCTGGGTTTTTAATTGAATTTATTTCGATTTACGGATATCCAGATAATTAGATGGCATTTTCTTTTTCGTTTCTTAATTTTCTGAATTCTTTCTGCAAGAATAATCCTACCCCCCCATATGGTACCTCCACCTCTTTCCTTCTTTCCTTCTTTCCTTCTTCTCGATCTCGAGATCTCACATACATCTCGCACTCGTCTTGTCCACACCCGATTCCTTCTATTTCGATCGCATCCTTTCTCCGTCCTCGTCTCCCCTTACTAGACTGATTGTCTTCATCAGGCTGTGGTAGCTCTAGGCGACTCCACTCCCAATTAATGATCCGTCGAGAGCAGGCCGGGTACGTGCATCGTGCTTGCTTCCCTGCCGACGGCGAGCGCGGATTCCATGCAGCTGGTAGGCTTCTCGCCTGATTGAGTGCTGCTTCTGGACCTCTGTCCACCATACAGTGACTGTAGTTGGGATTGCTCTTTGAGACACCGTCATTTCAAAGCAATGCAACCAGCCCGTCGTTGAGAGAAAGCGCACGCGAGAGAGAGAGAGAGAGAGAGAGAGAGAGTGACCTCCGAATCCTATATATACTATGGCTTCGCTGCCCTTCCGTTCTTCAATTCTGCAGAACCAGAATCAACACTTACTTCTTCTCTCATCATCCTCTTGGGATAATCGCATCACTCCGTTACTGCTTCCTCTTATTCAGAACGAATCACCCATTCCTTCTCGTCACTCTCCATTCCCAACTCGATTCAATCGTCTTCGAGGAACTCAGGCCTTGCGGAAGAGCAAGCTACCATATAATCCAGGCCTACAGCACTAAGAAATATCAATTGCGACTACACGCAAGATCC